TTTTTCCCCCATGTGGTAGCTGGTGTTAAAAATGACCTTAAATTGTCTGAAATTGTTTATTTGCATTTTATTTATTTCAGTCTGTTTATTTATTTCATAAACCCATAATTATTGTCAAATTCTACCCATTTAGGCAAAAATTAGAAAAGGAATATTTATTACAGGAAATATGCCAAATTTTGAAACTATATGATGCTGTAATGAAACAGTTAAAATGGATCTGTGGGGTTAACTGTTCTTAAAATCCCAGCAGACATTAAAGCATATACGGTACAGTATTCTGTTTTTTTGTTTCCAGTTAAATTACCAGAGATTCTTGGTTTGATGCACATTTCACCCAAAACACTGAAGCCTCTTGTGAAACATTTAGAGGCATTTTTAAAGTAAGTATATATCTGCATTGACTATTTTTGTTTCAAGCACTATTATCTGATCATTTTGCATGTAAAATATGCTTAAACTTTACTAACTAAAGATGAATCTGCCCATTTCATTTTCATACCTGTTAGGTTTCCAGGTGTAAACAACTGAAAGATGACAGACAGTAAACCTAATAGATACATTTGTGATTTGCAAACAGTCATTACTGTATTTCCTCTATTAGAAGCAAATGTCCAATAGAAGCTCATGTGAAAAAAAAATCACACCCGTTATATACTGGACACCGTTTAAGCTTTTAATTTTAAAGTGTCTTCCATTGATATGTTTTGCACTATTTCAGGTATGTGTCACTGCCAGATCACATAGAAGAAATGTTTCCTGAGTCAGCCTATGTTGATGTTGAAGAAGTGTATGGAAATTTTAAAAAGCCAGTCCCTATCCATTAAAGACTTGAGAAACCAGTCTCACCTCCAATGAAATTTAAGAGTGCATTTCCAATCCATTGATTTCTATGGGAAATTTAATTTAGCCCTGTTCATCAAGTTTATGGAAATGTTAAGACTGCAGTCCCAATCTATCCATTGACGTCTATGGCAATTTTAAGAAGTCAGTCCATAACTATTGATGTCTATGGTAATTTTAAGAAGCCAGTCCTTATCTATTGATGTCTATAGTAATTTTAAGAAGCCAGTAACAGTAATGAGAAATTATTAAAGCAGTTCCATGTAATGCATAATTTATGGGAATTTTGAAAATCCACCAGTCCTTGTATTTAAGACGACAATAGCTGTGGGTTTCTTTATCAGAATATAGGCTATGTGATATGGTGGATGTTACCACTAATGACACAGGAAATGTTTTAGTAAAATAAAAAACAATCGATAGTTACAGCTATTGTTGCTTTATAACAATTTTTAATTGTATAGCTTCTGGGTATTGAAATATATAAAGCCTATTTCTTTTCACTGAAATTTATTGTAACGTTTGGGAGTCAGTTGCTACCAAGTGAAGTCCATAAGAATTTGAGAAACTTAATCCTTGATAATTGTATCGTTTATAGTGATTTGAAGCAGCTTGTCTACATGCTTATGTGCATGGAAATATTAAGAAACTTAGACGCTATTCATTTGAAGTCTTTGAGCATGTTTAAAACCCAAGTTTCCAGTTCTACTGAGTTTGCTCATTATCTAAATAATGTAAAGGAAGTGTTTTTTGTCAGAAAATTAATACATGTTTTGGTTTATCTGTGTTGTATAAAAAATCCATTTATTTTTTAATTTTGTCAGTACCATTTACTAGCATATATCAAACATTTTAGTTGTTTTTTCAATGTCATATTTGTAAAATAAATCATGTTTGGGAGTTGTGGGAATGTGGTATATTATGCCCCACCTTCCAGCTTCAACAGGGTTTGACAGTGAACTATTAAAATTCATTGTTTGTGTTTAACCATAGTGTAATCATTTATTTTTTATATATATACATTGTATTAAATGTGAATAGGTGATTTTATGTTCACTGCGAGATCTTGTATAATGCGTGAAAGGCATGTATAAAACTGCAAAAAATCAAATTATTTGATTTTGAATAGCTCAATGTCAAAATGCTGATCTGTCAGAGGAATTTGGCATTGAGATATTCTTACTTCATCAAAATTGATCATCATCAAATCTGTTATAGCACATTATTAAGCATGGAAATGCCCCAAAAAAATTAATAGTTTAGTGTTAAATCACACAAGATGTTTTGACAGCCCTACAATGTTTGTTTGTTCTGTTTTTACATTTGATTTTATGCATAATGTAAGATTTCGCAGTTAACAGAAAATGGTCTATTACACAGAACAGTATTGTGTGTGTTTGTTCTTGTGTGACTTGTGTAGATTCACTTACGGTTATTATTTTGTGATATCAATTTTAATCACTCATCGTGAACATTTTACAAAAACAGCCTATTCTTCAAACTGGATGCAGATGAGGTTCAATATACACAATTACCAGTATTATATGAATACCTTATACTTGAGTTAAAACAACATTATTAAAATATGAATAATAATAATAATAACAACATGGTAACTAGTTTTCAGTTGCTCTGTTCTTCTAACAAGGCTTCTCTTTCACGTCTTGTCTTCTCATTTAATTCACATGCTCTTTGGCTGCAAAAGAAATTTTTTTGTGATCGTGTTATTTACACAGCTGGATGAAAGAACCCATGAATCATAATATAAGAACTGAGGAAGATATTTTTCATGGCAACTATGATGCAAAATCAATAGCAATCTTCATTGGTTGCTTATCTAGATAGATATTGGCCCCAGTTTGATACCGAACATGTTAATTCTATATTGTGGGCATCTACCTTATTTTTGAAATTTAAGAAATATTCATAAAATGTGTATTTCATACATACACACAACATTGGATAAAATATAATTTATAACATTCTGGTATGTATACATACTTCTGTAAGATACCTCTGGGGTAGAACATACAATTATGTTTACTTAACAAACAGGCTTATAAACACCAGCAGGCAGTAACATGACAACAATTGAACTTGGTTCCCTTCCACAATCAATGTGATGAAGGTTAAACTAATTCCCTGATCTTGGAAGCATACCTGTATACCTTTCTCTCTTCTTCAGGTAGTTCCCTCCATGCATTACCAAGTACTTTGGTTACTTCTCTTCCAATGAGGTTAGGATGGTCCCTGAATTGCATGAAAAATTACCATACATTGTAAAACTACCTGTATATATGAGCTACATCTTGAATTGTTTGTCTTGACAGGAATTTATGGAAGTATTTGATCGGGAAATTGTTTTCACAGTCGTTCTGAGAGTTATTCGGCTCTTGCTTTGTTCTAGACTTAGAGACATCTTTTGGCAGATGGCATGCTATTTCATAGGGTGATCAACATAATGATTGGCAAAATTAGTTGTGCGTATTTATTAACTACCTTCATTTTCTTGGGATCTAAACTGTGTGTGTCAATGGGAAAGCACCAGATTGGGCGAAAGTGTTTTGCAAAGTTGCAAGCCACCTTGCTAACTGAATGTCCAAACAATTCCACCTATCAGCTAGGGTCTGCATAAATGTGGATAGATGTACATATTTGGAGAAATGGAGGTAATATTGCATTATAATTACTGTAGCAGAATTCAACTTTTAGGCTTTGCCCATACTTGCATTTTGTAATCTTGATAATGCATCCTAGTATATAACTGATAACCATTGATCCATGATTTGGGTGGCGGAAAATTTGTTTCAATATCATTTTCGGGGCCTGGAATTTCAACATCTGCAGGAGTGCATAGACCACAATTACTGTGTTTACAATCTTGGTTTGGTTTGTCATAACCAAAAGATCTTCTTGCACTAATCCTATTTTTCTGTAAATCAAAATATTGACATTTTCATAAATAGTAGTGAACACCATAATATCAAGCTGTGATATAAAAAACAAAGAGAAATTCACACTTTTCAAAAACAAGTTTCTAGGCCTTGAAATTCTGGTTTGACTGCTTCAAGACCTACCGTATAATCTGTATTAGAAGCCGCATCCCTAATAGAAGTCGCTCCCATTCTTTTTGCACAATTGAGAACCAAAAATTCACCATTTTTTATTTGTGTAGATACATGTACTCTTATATAGAAGCCGCATCTCTTCTGTTGCATTGTACCATTTTAATAGAAGCTGCGGCTTTTAATACAGATTTTACAGTAATTGATAAAACTGCTTTAGCATATGACATTTTTAATACTAGAGTAAATATCTGCAAGCCTGTGAAGTTGAAAAGTGTATTTCCTTCCTGTGAACAAATCTAAAGGCAAAATTGTTGGTCATTTTCTGTTGATACTGTCTAAATTCCTCTTGACTAACTTACCGATATGCATTGTTATTTTCAATTTTTTACATACTCTCCAGAAACATCGATTCTTTTAAAGTATATTTACTTTTCAATGATAATTAAGAATATGTCATTCAAGTTATTTTAGAGAAAACATTGCTCTAGAAATGATATTTACCTTGGAAGCCGTCAATTTATGTGTACCACAAATTGGAGGTGTTATAAGTTTATCACCTGGTGCTGTTCGGCTTGGTGATTTGAGTTTACTGCATAGCTTGGCAACATTTTCCTCAGATGTTAGATTACCACTAAATCTTACTGAATACGTATGTTCGAATGGAAAGCTATCTGCATGCCCTTTATAATTGAATTCTGATGATCCATCAGTTGAGACTGATGGAGAAGAGTCTGGTATGCTAGACTGCTCTGATGAATCAATGACTGGTGATAAAAACATTGGCCTGTCTGGGGATGATCTTGAACTTACTGATGGGTTGTTTTCAGATAATGGTGACAACGAGAAAGAATTGAACTTGAAATGATCATGCCAAGGTGAATGCGACTCCATTGCTTGTGTACCGGTACTATCACCACAATCTTCTTTTTTGATATTAGTAGAAAGATAAGTTGCATTTGTTTTTGTGGTCTCTTGTTCTTCAGAAAACTGATTGATGCAAGTGGAATTCTTTTTCTTCACTATAAGATCTCCTTTCATGTTTCCTGCATTATTAGTTAATTCTTTCAATATTTCAGGAGATATAGTTTTCATTCCACTACCACTAGTTTTGGCAGAATTGCCTACCAATAAATAGAACAATTTATTTATTTCATTAGATACTAACTTATGAATATCTTTGTATTTTGTGGCAACAACAGAAATGATTAGAGCTCATGGGAAATTCAAGTATGCTCATGACAAAATGTATTCTCTTCCTTTTAAGGAGCAGTGAACTACACAACTTTTTAGTACATGATAGAAAAATCATTGTCATTTAAGATGTAGACAAATTAGGGTTACCAAAAACCATTACCAAAATACATGAAGATATGATATGCAATTCATTTTCGCTAACAGAATGATTCAGTGAAAATAAAATTCAGCAAATATATATACTCCTTTTTTTTTCCCCTCTATAGTAGACGAGGATTCTTAGCAGGTTTGATAAAATTGAGTCTTTATTTTCACACACAGATGTGCAAAATGTTAAATTTTAGCATGCTATTGCTAGCCACAGCTTATTTCAGAAACATTCAAGACTGACAGTGTCACACAACATTAAATGCCAAGAGCTTTGGGAGTTGAAATAGTTGTATACATTACCATCAGGCATATTCGGAATACACAAATAGTTATCCAGAAACTGAACTGAGTTTGATGATTGGGAACATTTCTCTTGAATCTTTCTTCGTAGGAAGTCAATATATTCAACAGCCCTGTTTAACACCATAAACTGAAAGATAAATAACAAAAGTATCAACTTTCTCAACTTGGGTGCTTACTAGACTTTTTTGAACGGTAGTAAATTAGTGTGATAATTGAGATCAGGAAACAATAAAGAGTAAACAAATATACATGTACCTCATAATGTAAATTTAAAGAATTCATCTTAAGATATTAAGGTGGAACATTGAAAAAAATAAGTTAAAAAAATTGATCTGTGATTCAGACATTCTCTAAAAGTAAAGAAGCATACTACTATAACAACCTATACATCTTCTGAAAGTTTAGATATAGACAACTACAATAGTACATATGCCAAACCAATTCAGACTATTGAAAAGACAGTTTTTCAATGCTTTCAGTCATACAATTCACACAAGAATTGCACAAGATGTTCATAACACTGAAAACTAGACAATCGCGTTGCATTCTAGCTATAACCAAATAACTACAGACATGCTACTGATAACAGATTGTCGATAGCATCAATTTGCTAGCTTGGCTTCTGCTCATGCATAGTTCTATTGAAAAATGCTACTTTGGACTGAAATCAGAGCATCAATTTCCGTGGCTGAATAATGACCCATTATTCTTGACTGCAGGATATATTGTAAAATGGAATGTTAATGGAGATATTTTTCTCACAAAATGAATAAATCTGTGTCCTTATTTTAATATTTGAATACAGTGTTACTGCAGAGTATTGTAAATTATTGTGTGAAACGTGTGACTCTTTCTGCTATAGAAATACTAAAATTGAAAAGCTATCAACTATTTACCTTGGTTTCATGACTTTTCTTTTCAGCTGACGGTAGTGTCCTCATAAGATACAGTATTGCTTGATTCACTGTTTTATGACGTTCTCTATCGACAATATAAATCATGTTCATATTATGCAAACCTGCATGATATATTTTCATATTTTTTCAAAAATTATGAATATTTGGTCAAAAGTCATAAATCTCAAACAAGGACAGGAAAAAACCAAGCCAAGTTGAGTAACACACGCCCATAAGACAAAACACAATTTCTTAGGTTAAGAAGTCGAAAATGCAATTGTCGGCGGACGATAAACAATCACCTATATGAACAACTCTTAGCTGCTCTGTCATCGACAATAACAGCAGAGCTAAAAAGAAGATGCTCATCATGTTGACTTTGTCATCTGGATAGCACATATTATGGTATTTCACAATTATTACCTTTCATGGGCAGTATGCAAGGACACACTTCTATGTCGAGATACTCCAGCAGCTTTACCAAATCTTGGCTTTTCCTGCCTCACCAAACGACGTAGAGATGCCACACTGGACAAAGTAGGTGCGGGTAGTTCAAAATTGACATCAGGTGGCATTACATAATCCATTTCTAAGAGGTCATCATATTGCTGGCCATAAAATGAATTCATTCCATCCTAAGGTAATTATCAGTCAAAACAGAATAATCATTCGACATATCAAACGTGATGCAACTACTGCGGCACTTTAAGTACTTGGGTTAGGTGACGAGTTCAGTTGTGCACGCGTCTCTGGGTGATACTTTGTTGTTTTTAAGTGACTTTCATTGTCAGACCCCACGCTAGCTGTAGACCAAAGTTCAAATCCTACCTTAGGCCACACTGATTTAATTTTATGGATGACATCTTCTGGAGACCCCAAAACTAATGCGAGAGGGCGAAAAAAAAAAATGCTGCTAAAACCACAGGACTACAGGGCTGGTATTACGAATTGAACCACAGAACACAGTGTATCAAAAAAACAACAACAGGTATAACCATTTCAGACAAGCTCTAGTACATGTAGTCATGATGAAGTACCTTCAGTCAGAAACTCTGCATTCAACGTACAGCATGAACACCATTTTCAGTACAAGTCAAGACGGAATGTACATATCACTACTTTATGACAATAACTAACAAAACATTGCAATTATACAGAAATGTCCTTGCTTGCTCCTCTCTACACAGCTGGGGTTAGCTTTAACTGAGTTGTCAGGTGAAATGAAGCCTACATGTTAACCCTGCAAGTATGTCTAGTGTCTCGTGTCTAGGGATCTCAACCTCAAGTATCAAAAAAAAAAAAAAAATGATCTCTTGCACTCCTCTACACCCCACACATCGATCTCTTCAACAATAGGTTTTTTCTTCCTTCTCAGCTATCACATCCCTAGGCCACCCACTATACACCTCCACTCCTATCCCATTTCTCTCATCGTTGCATTGCGGGACAGCCACTCTGGACAATATGTCCTC